TCTGGGTGTTACTGTGGGAGAGGACTGAGGCTTAGAAAGAGACCAAGTTTATTGGAATAGAGCAACGGCTGACTCTTCTGCTCAGATTTTCTAGTGTCCAGGTCTGTAACACAAATCAGGTGGGGCAGCAAACTAGAGAGCCAGTGCAGTGTCCTCCTTGGCTGCAGGGGTGTGGCCTGTAGCCTTCAGATGATGGAGATGAGTTGAGGGCATATAAATTAGGTGCTGTGAGTTTTAAAGTAAGAGAGACTTTTGAATGATACTCTAGAATGCTGTCCTGGACCTGGCAATGGAAAACAGAAGAATGTTCCAGATGAAAATCTGAATAGAATCTGAAAATGGCTGGAGAAGTTCATACCTTGAATAAACTGGGGTGGATCCAGTCAGTGTCAGCATTCCAAATGTAATGTTATTACAGCTAATTTGGTCAATATCCAGAACAGGTCCTAAGGAAGTAGCTTCTAAATTAATTGACCTCTTTGCTTTCAGGTGGGTTTTTTTTTTTAATCATTTTTTTCTTAGTCTCAAACCCAGATAGCTCAGTTGCTGATCAACTCTGAGCATTTCCTCATGACATTACCAGTAACAGATTGCTCCAAGCAGTTCAACTACCTTTACTGTCTAGATACTTTCTTTTTTTCAGAAATATCCTCATATAAAATTTCCCATTTAATTCTATGAATTAGAGACACAAAGACATAACATTTCTGAGTTCTTATTTAAATAAATAGTAACCGAAATGGTGACTGGGCTCTTTCTGGTGAATGTCTGTAATTCTGAAATTATCATCTCAGTTATGTATTCATGCCTCAAAATCTTGGGAGATGGGCAAGATGTTATTACTTTTCCAAGTTTTTTCTCAGAAGCAGTTTGGACAGATCCTGAGATTTCCCAGGGCCTCTTGGGTGAGCCAGCTGGGCACTGTGTACATCAAGTGTGACTCATAAACTCCTGGAGGGTGGTTCCTTAAACTTCACATGAGTTTGTTCGATGTGCATATTTGATGAGTCTGTGATGGAGTTCTAGAATCTGCATCTACAGCTCAAGTTTCAATGATCATAGTCAGAAGAGCACTAATCTAGAAAATTCTCCTCCCCTTCTCTTTTAAAGGAGAAAAGGAAAGAAAAGAAAAACACCAAGTGGCTAATTTTACCTCCAACCAATCAAAGTAATTTTTCCCCCCTCAGAGAAATGGACCCCCTAGTCCTTCTCTTCAGCACCCTACCCACACACACTGATAAAGTTAATTACCTGCCCTGCCTAAGTGACTTTCCCTAGCAACACCCTAGCAACTAACATCAGCTCTGCCTCAGGCTATAAGACTGAAAAGATATTTCTTGAAGTCCAGTGTATTTTACACCAGAACAAAACATCTGAACAGGAAATTAAACAGAAATCAACTGGATTCATTGCTGAGAGATGATGCAAAACAGTTCACAATAATGAAGTGGAACAATAGTGAAAATAAGAAGCTTTTTGTCCTGAATTGCACTGGAGCCCAGAGAAGACCTCAGTCCAAGGAGGCTTTAAACAAGAAGAAAGAGGTAGGGCCTTCTAACCATCAGGAAAGTCAGATGTGTTCAGCTCCACCCACCCCGCTACCCACCACCACCACCATCACCATGTCAGCCGCATGTAAGTGAAGATAGCTATGAACTGGCCCAAATCAAACGGTTATTTAAATAATTCTGAGGTTTTCCTTTTTTTTTTATTTCAATTTTCTTTTTGAGCAGGGTCTCATGTAGCTCAGGCTGGCCTTGAACTCACTATGTAGTCAAGGATGACCTTGAACTGATCCTCCTGCCCCCCATAACCTGAGTTCCGTGATTACAGGTGTGTACCACCAAACCTGTTTTGTGTTTTTTGTTTTGTTTTTTTTTTTTTTGCTTGTTTACTTATTTCCATGCTGGGGATCAGACCCAGAGTTTCATGTACGTTGGGCTAGCACTCTGGCATCTGAGCCACATCCCCAGCCCTGTGGCAACCGTGCTCTTCTTGAGTGTGAACTTTGCAAATGACAACACCCTGTCACAATGTCTGAAGTTGAGGTGTCGTCTCTGTAGCAGATGACACAAGGAACCCAGGTGGGCAATGTTGGGAGCTCAGACCCGGAGGATACAGTGGCACGAGATCATCAATGACATTGAAGGCTCACTTGAAGCACTTAAGTTAGAAGGCGCTGGAGGCAGGTTTGCTAATGATTTTGTATTTAGAGAACAAAAATTTATCCATCTCCAACTATGAGCCTGGTACCTTAATGTAGTTGGCAGTTACAGCGGTGAGCCCCATTCAGAGCTTTCAAGTTGGTGATAGACACTGAACAACACAAATTTTAAGAATCAAACATACAAATGAATAGGTAGAATAGGTAATTCTAAATGTGATTTTTTTAAAAAGTACTAAGTGCTACGAGAGGGTTAAGGGCAAGGTCCGCTATTAGGGATCAAGAAGGGTTTCTCTCATGAAGCTTTGCAGAGATCTGAATGATATAGAGGGGCTGGCATGAGAGCTTGAAGTACACTGCAGGATCTCAGGCCTTGAGAACAGCTCAGGCATATGTTCCCCCAAATGAAAAGAGGCCAGTGATTGAAGGCCATCTAAAGGAGATGGAGCAGGGAGGTCTTGGATGACCATGTGAAAGATTGTCGTTAAGAGCCTTGAAAGTCACAGAAAAGGATTTTTAACCTAAGGATCGACATTCAAATTTGCATTTTTCAAGACTATCACTTGGGCTTGAGTGTAAAGGATGGACAGGCAGACCAATTAGGAGGCTGAGGAGGGCTTGACATCTGGACCAGGATAAGAGGCAGAACACTGTGGGAGAGAGGCAGGCAGTGTTTAGAAGGTGAGGCCGATGACTAAACGATGGATTGGATGTGTGGAGCGGATGTCTGAAGTGACAGCCAAGCTAGGTTGGGAAAATCTAGCACATGGAGTGGGACTGGAACTTGGGAGACTGACTAGAGCCTTCGTCAGAGCCCAGATGATGGAGCCAACTCCAGATACTGGCAAGTGCCCCATTTGGTGTTGGCATTGTTGCTTTGAAATCCTAACTCATTCCCTCAGTTGCATAGAACTTTACCTGAACAGGTTATGCTGTCTGTTCTTAATCTGGAAAATGGGAATGGGACAGGGGGACAAATAGATGAATAAGTCCACTGCCTCACATGGTTTTCTTGTCAATATTCCGTGAGAAATTGACTATCATGTCCCTGCCTGTTCCATGCCTACACACCTCCAATTAAATCGGAACGTGTTGATATAATTAGAAAGATGTTCAAGTGTACCCAAGAGTATATGTTTGGCCAATCAGACACACAATAAACTCCATGAAAACAGAAGTTGTGTTTTATTCGCTCTATAATTTCCTACCCTCTGAGATAACACCAGCATGTTCTCTTGGCCACTTATTTTAGTTGTAGCATATATCACTACTGTAGCTCAAAAATTTCATTCAATTACATAATTGCTATTTGCCTTTGCCCTGGGACTATAAGATCCATTAATGTAAGTATCATGTCTGCCTTGTATCATGCTGGTGAGCCTTTGGAGAGCCTGTAACAGGAACGATGGGTGAATGGATGAATGAATGGTTGGATGGATGGGGAGAAGCAGGCAGATTCTACCTGAGTTGCTTGGAAGGTGAGATTGGATGTGCAGAGCAGAGAGTGGGGGTCTCCATCCATTCACACAAGTGGCTGGCTGACTGGTTGGCTAGGCAGATGGAGAGAAGCAGGCAGCTTCTACCTGAAGTGCTTGAACATGAGACATGACAGGATGACAAATTGGATATGTGATCGAGAGAGCAGAGGTCTCCCTCCACTCAGCGTGACTGAATGAACAGATGGATAGATGGCTGGATGGATGCATTCGACGGATGATGGATGAGTGCACGAAGTTTTGTTGTTTTGTGCTCCCCACTCTGCACAGAGCCTGGTTTCAAATGCATATGCCACAAAAAAGCTTGCTGAAGAAATGGGAACATAGAATCAGGCAGGAGCTCTGAGCTAACTGAGAGAGGATGGTGGTGACTCAGAACACAGTGTGGATCTAAGTGTTCTCTCTGTAAAGAATAGCTAGTCGCCAGGTGTGGGGGCGCGCGCTTTTAATCCCAGCACTTGGGAGGCAGAGGCAGGAGGATCTTTGTGAGTTCAAGGCCAGCCTGGTTTACATAGTGAGTTCCAGGACAGTTGGGACTACAGGGAGACCCTGTCTCAAAAAGACAAAAAAAAAAAACAAAACAAAACAAAAAAAAACAACTAGTCATCTGGATCAGGGGCTGTGGAGACGGCCATTTCTCATGCCTTCCCTCAGTGCTAGGATGTGTACAACTGGTTTCCATAAGGTTTACTCTCCCTTGACCTCTGGAAGATAATGACCAGTTGACAGAGGTAGCAGAAGTCATGGCACGAACGCTGAGAAATCAGTGGGGGATGTGAAGAATGGACCATCCAACGCTGATGGTTCCTGCTGGCTGTTTGTAACAAGAAAAAGTTAATCCAGAAAGTGAAGGAGATCGGTTGTTAGATACAGGCACTTAAGATGTGCTGAAAGGCCTGAAAAGCTAAACCAGAGCTTCTAAGAGCACTGGGAGAGTGGGAGAGGGATGCTTGTGTTCAACCATGGGATACAGGTGTCTCTAAGTGGGATGTGACTGGAGGCCAAGTGTTTTACATGAAACATTTCACTGAATTTCCGTGCGCACAGCCCGGGTGTCCTTGCACTCATATCCTGCTCTGTGCTTACTGGCCAGCAAAGAAGCTTGGAGAAGTTGACTTGTCCAAGTCTCACAATGGGTAAATGACAAGACCCAGGCTTGGTTCAGGTCTTTCCCCAGGGAAACACTGGGAGTGATTCCAGCTTATGGTCTCCTCACACTGCCCAGTGAATGAATGCTGGGGCTCAACCCCTCACCCCAAACCTGTCCATGGAGGAGATCAAAAGCCTAAACTAAAAATCTAACCCAAGAAAACACAAGCTCTTCTTTGAGTCTTTCGAAACTTCAGCGCTGCTTGACTTTCCTACAGCAGTGGACAGTTTTGTGTAGGCCCCTGCCTTCATAAAACAATATGAAACATCGCATTAATGACTGTGTAGATATAAAGTTGAATATGCTAATATTATATAGCAAAACATTTTCTTCGACATACATTTCCCCTTCTGCTTTTAAAGAAAATATTTTTAGAGATCTCCAAAAGTGTTGTGGCCCAAGGCACTGTGCCAGAGCCCAGGGGTAAGTAGCTGGTCTCCTTGCTGGATCTCCCGTCTGACAGATTATAAAGTGGGCTTAGAAAAAGCAATGGAGCAAGCGAGTCAGGGCAGGGTGGCCTGCTGTTGCCTGCTCGGTGAAAGTCAGGTGGTACTTATTGTGTGGGGCGATAGCGCACAGGATAAACTGATGCGGAGTGCAAACCTTACAGCGCAACCAGGCACAGAGTGTGTGCGCAATGAAAGTTAGTTGGCAGGTTTTCCCTCCTCCGAGAGCACTGCGGTCCACAGGATCCAAGGTGTACCCGGGGCTGGAGAACCAGGCTGGTTGGTCCTGGGATAGAGCCTGCACTTGTCCGCGTATCCGGTGCTTTCTCCCACCAGACCCTGGGAATCTAGCGTCGCAAAATAAACATCACCGCGCTGCTAATCGGCAGCTCGGAAACAAAACAGCGCTGCTCTGGGGGATCTGGGCGCAATCCGCCCTCCCTCCTCCCGCTCCTTCGCCGCCCGCCCCTCCTCGCGCGGCTCTGCTCGCTCTGCTCTGCTCTCAGCGCAGCGCAGCTCCGCAGCCGCCAAAGCGAGGCGGCACGGTCTCCCCTCCGCCAACGCCGCTCCGGCTCCAGTCCTCCAGGTCTCGCCTCCACCGCCTGCATTATTCCGGGCAGGGGTGGCTTGGCGGGGGTCGGCCACAGCTGCACAAAGTTGGGGGGCCCGCGAGGATGAGGCTGTCGCCCGCGCCCCTGAGGCTAAGCCGGTGTCCGGCGCTGCTGATCCTGGCGCTGCCCCTGGCCGCGACGCTGGCCTTCTCCGACGAGACCCTGGACAAAGTGTCCAAGTCCGAGGGCTACTGCAGCCGCATCTTGCGCGCCCAGGGCACGCGGCGAGAGGGCTACACCGAGTTCAGCCTCCGCGTGGAAGGCGACCCTGACTTCTACAAGCCGGGAAGCAGCTACCGCGGTAAGTGGCCCCGCGTGGCGGTGGAGACACACCATCTGGCACCCAGAGAGCGTCAGCGGGCGCGGGGCTGGAGCAGGGCGCGCAATCCCCTGCGCGCGGTGTCTGTGCATCCCGGAAAGGGCGGTCTGTGCCGGCTACCCTGAACCCCGCCAGTTGCCAGCTCTCTGCGGGATCCCCAGCTAGTGTCGGGGGCCGTCGCGGTGGTCGCAGGCAGGAAAGGCAGCCCGGATCTCCGACGTGCGGCTCCCGGGCGGGGACTGCAGCAGAGCCGCGCGTCACGCCCGCCTGGCCGGAGGAAGCTCGGCTTCCACCCCACGGGTCCGCTGGTCTGCTTTTCTCCAGATAGTTCTCTGGGGAAGAGGGACCCTGGCCTCCCCCAGGTGGGTCGGGGTTAAGGAATTCCCCGCTTCCATCCCTGAAGGAGTGACCGGTTTCTCCCTGACATCCTAGCCGGACGCTCACTCCTGCTTCTTGGATAGGTCTCTAACGGGTCGCGGGGTGCAGGGAGGAGGAGCCTGAGCTCTTCGGAAGGGTTCACCATAAGATCCCGAAATTGTTCTGAGATAGTCCCAGAAGGAAAAGGAGAGGAGTTCGGATTTCCAGGACTGGCTCCAGTGGGAATAGGTTCGTCAAAGAACCCCGGGTCGAAGGTGGAAATTGGTGACTGAAAAGGGATCCCTGGCTCCCAGATGTTATGGCCTATGGTGCTCAGCGGAGAGCGAGCCGGCTCTTGAGCACCGAGCACCGGGAGGGGCTGACAGACTAGGTGAGCGCCTCCTGGGATCCCACCCGGGGCACCTACCTGAAGACTCCATCCTCACGCCCATCCCCGTCGTCTTCCTGCTCAGTAGGGTCTCCGCCCCCAGACATATCTTCCCCCAGCAGCGGCTGTCCGTGTCCCTAGTTGGGACACAAGGGAGACCTGCCAGATTTTTCCTGGGGTTTCCGCCAGGGAACCCCATCCTAAGTCGGCTCTGGTGCCTTTGCGGGAGGACTCATCACTGTAGCACTGGTAGGGGTAACCGCCCCCTTCCAGGTTTCCCCAGAGAGTCATGGGAGGAAACTCAGAAGAAAGTTCGGGTCTGTGTCAGCCAGCACACCCCTGCCATACCAAGACCAGTATCCGGGCCAGGCTTCCCAGAAAGCTGCTTCTATTTTCCTGGGCTCCTGACCGACTTCTTTCCCCTGCAGTTACCCAGTCCTGCTCCAGCCCCCTGCACGTTAGTGTCCTTGGCCTCTGGCCAGGGCCTGCCTTGTTGGAGCAGGAGTCCAGGAGATCATTCATTAGTCTTGCATGAAGACTTCCATGCCCAGCCAGGGAAAGAGCTTGCGATTTGGAGCCTAGGCTGGAGGGAGTCAGTCCATCTCTGGATGTACAAGGAAGATCAGAGGGAAAGAAACCTCTCCAGGCCCATAAACAGAAAGCCTGGGTTAACTGGGGAAACCAACCCAGCTCCAAGAAGCAGGGAAAGAGATAGCTCTGGATGAAAGGGACTTAGGTTTAGTAGCTGTGTGACCTTGTACAAGTCATTTAATTTCCCTGGGCCTATTTCCCACCTGTAAAAAGAGCTATTTACCCATCACCTCTGTGTGTAGTTACCAAGGTGAGTGTGTATGAGGGACAGTGAGTCACCAAATACACATTTCTTTGGGCTGAGTGTGAAACCTTTCTTGCTTAATAATGGAGGGACTGTGCTGAGCCACATTGCTTCCTGTGTGTGCAACCCCTGCTAGAACTTTCTTTAGCATTCCTCTACCAGTGGTTCCTCCTGAATTAATTTAACGAATGAGTGAATGGCCCGGTCTCCATATGAGGAGCCTTGTTGAAGACTGCTCCTAATTTAAACCAAAGATTTGTGTGCATGTCTGATTTTGGCTAATCTGAGGCTCTGGCCAAGTGTGTCATCCTGACATCACTTCCCACACTAGTTCTTCTGTTTGGCTGAACCCTGGGAGGGAGACACATTCCCCAGTCACAGGGCTAGAGAAGTTCTACAACTACTTAAGAGCCCAGGCCCAGCAGGAACCACCTGGGACTGGGTCAAGGGAGGGTCCTGGACTCTCTATCCTACACCTTCAGGCTTTGGGACCTGGGACACTCAGGCTGTAGGTGGGGATAGCATCTTTTCTCCCGTTGATGGCTAGGAGATTCTGAAAGATGTTGGAGGAACCACACGAAGGTCTCCTGGGTACGTGGGTAGTTAACACATTAGGCTCCATGGTACAGTTAGGAAGAAAGAGCCCTAGCTTAGGCTGTGCCATTGTACTTTCTTATAACACTTACATTACAAAAGTAAAGCTAATGCTTCCCACTGGATGACCCAACTTAGGTTTGTGGGTGTTAACATCCCCCTGGTGTTGTTTGCTTTTTAATTTTGCCTTAAATTAGTAGCCGTCACCATCCTTGGAATCAATGACTTTTTCCTGCATCAAATTGTTGTCCTCTATTTCAGTTCATAGTCCAATAGCTTCTGTACTCTGTTACCCCCACTCCAACTGAGGATAGCCTTCTAGACTCACATAAAATGGTTCCTGTTTTAACAAATTGCATCATGAGACTTCTTCCCCACAGCCTGGGTCCAGTTGAGACTGGACCTTTTCCAGCTTGTTAGTGCTAGACTGACTCTCCCAACACACACACACTTCTTTCTACCCTCCCTCCCTCTTTTCTCTGGCCGCCCCCCACCCCACTGCAATAATTGTGCTTTAGAAAGCTCTGAAAGGCCTGCTCTGTTTCTGACCAGGGCCTCCTTTGAAAGGAGATTACAGTGATTAAAAATAACAAGTTAAGGATCCTCAGGGGCGTCTCTTATGGGACTACAATTTGCGGGGCCAGCTTTTCCCAGATCACAATTTCCAGCCAAATAGCAGAAAATCAGCCGAAATGTTCAAGAATTGATTGAAAATAAAAGAGGCTCTTTTGTCTGACCGAAGGTCTGTTTATTAGGAAAATAAAGTCAGGCCCCGGCTAATGAGAGTGGCTTTTCCTAGATGCTCTTTAAAGAGAAATTTCAAGGAACTTGATGGGAAAAGAATGTGCAGTTGAGATTTCAAAAGCTGGTCCAACTTCAGGCATAATTGGGGGATTTATTCTAACCAAGGTCTGGGGACCTCCAAAGCAGCTTTGCTTTCTCTTTGTCCTGGCTGGGGACACACAGTACCCATGGCTTGCAGGAGTAGGCACCTCAGCCTGGTGGAAAAAGCACAGGATTTAATGTTGGGTAGGTTCATTTTCATTTCTGCTTGGCGCCATAGCCACTGTGTGACCTCGGGCAATCCACTTCATGTCCTGGAGCCACAATATCCCGTCTGTACAATGAAGGGCATTTTGAGGGACCCCCCCCAAACATTGCAGTAAGAACTGGAAAGAAATCGTTGTCACACAGTTGGGTACAATATATATACATGTATGCATGCACATATAAAGACATGTATATACGTGTCATGAGATGATTATTTTGGTTGGCAAAGCCCACTCGGCTTCGTTATTCTTTATGGTCTTAGGAGGTAGTTGGTTCTTGTTCTTATTTTAAGATGAGACTGACTCTCAGAAAGGTCTGGTTCCTTACTCAGGGTCACACAGTCAAACGTTGGTGGAGTTAGGATCCATCCCTGGGTCTATGCGACCCTTAAATCTATACTCTTTCCTAGTATTCTGAGCTAACCCGACACACTGAGTAGGAAGCAGATGGAATTCACTGAGCCTGCCTCAGCCTTCTGGGTAGTGAGACTTTCTTGAAGGAAAACGAGATCACCAAATCAAGATAATAACAGGCATTCGCAGGACACAAAGTAATAAAGCAACGAACCCTTCTGTATCTGCTTTATTTTTCCTTTTTCACAGATTCCAATATTGCATTTCCCCATAAGTAAAGGATTAATTTAAAAGATGAAAAATCTCGCCCGCCTTTAGTCAATTTCTTTTGCTTGTGGGAAGGCAGAAACAAATTGGATAGTGAGGAAAACAACTTGTTTTGATTATTGTTTTATTTTTACATGCAGATGTCTTATCCCCATGCTTGTAAATGTATATATTTGAACAGAACAAACAGAGGATCTGGGAAATTGAAGCTGGTGATATATTTTAAATGAATTATTTCTTTTATTATGGTTTGCTTTATAAAGAATCATTCCTCTTTTTATGGCATTCTCTTCAATTATGTAATATTAATTCTTACCTTTTAAAATAAATATTTAGTTCAAATTGGTGATAAAAATCAAAATGGGCAGAAGTTGGTTGTGGTGGCGCAGGCCTGTCATCCCAGCAATCAGAACGCTGAGGCAGGAGGATCATGAGTTCAAGGCCAGTTTTGAGGTACATAGCGAGACCCTGACTCACAAACTTGAAAAGGAAAACAAAATTTTAAGACGCACGCACATTTGATGCTTAACGACTGTAGAGATTACTCATTGCATTGAGTTTCAGGCAATGGAAAAAAAATCGAAACATACAAATAAAGAAGCATATCTAGTTAAAGTTTTTAAAGTTTACAGCTTGAATGTTTTCCCAAACAGGTAAGTTGCTTCCTGACTGCCGACTCTTTCCATTGGAACCCAGGCTATTAATGATATATTCACATATCAGGAGCTTTTCACTTAATCTTTATTTACAGCTGTCACAGAATACCAGATATAGGTCAAGATCAACTTCTGCGGGGCAGGGGGGGGGGGACATTCTTACCCTGTTGGTATTAGTCAAGATACAGGCTAAGCTCATGTTACAAAGACATCCCTAAATGCATTGCTTCAAATGAGAGGTAAATGGGGGAGGGGTCAAACGTGATGGAACTCTTGGCTCCACAAAGTCACTCAGGACACCAGGCTCCTTCTACCTTGTTGCTCTGCAATCTTTTTGCACTCTAGTGTCCAACTGGTAGCCACAACTCAAGCCTGACTATTGCAAACTTGGAGTGTAGTTAGTCTGAATTGAGATGCGTTATAAGTGGTGTCGAAGATTAATATGAAAAAACACGGCTCTTGTTAATAAATTTTAAATGCATTCCATGTGGAAATAATCGTGGTATATGTTAAGTAAAATACATTGCTAAAAATGAATTTTACATTGATATATTTCTATTAGCTACCTGTTAACATGGTCAAGTTCACCTGGATCCAGGTCGTTTCACTGGAACTGTCCAGGGATTGCTGCAGCTTCCCTGTTCCTGAAGCCAAGCTCCATCTGTCATGCTGAGTTGAGCAGAGGGATCTAGACAGAGGGAAAGTGGCTTTATGCCAGTGATGTGCCCCTCACCTTGCACCCGGCCCTTCTAAACATCCTTTTGTGGGGAAGCTTTGGTCATGTGGCCACACCCAGCTGCAGGGGAGACTGGGAAACAGCTCTGAGCTGCAGAGACACTTATTCTCATACTTGGGGTGGGTAGTTCTTTAAAAGATGAAGAAGGAAATGGATTTAAGTGGACAATTAAAAACTGTCCTGTGCTTTTAAGGCCAGTCTTAAAAACATAATATTTCATGCTTTCTCACTCACAGAAAGTTCTTCAAGATGGGGCCATTGTGTAGCCATGAGCTAGTATTCCTGTTAAAGGGACAGGGAGAGAAAGGCATATTGGGCAATCTGTATGCGTGCGTGTGTGCGTGCATGCGCTCCCTCTGCAAGTGTGTAGGTAGCCTGTTCTTTCTTAATTCTTCTCTTAACAAAGGAGGAAGCAGCAAAGAAAAAACGAAATGAAGGAGGAAGTGAAAAGAACAAGGAAACAGCGAGGTGGTGTGGGAAGCAAAGAAAACAGGCATGGAGGTGGACATTCAGAAAGAGAAGGAGCACAGTCATCAGAGTGCCCTGGGCACCTGTCCTACCCAAGACTGAGATTCAAGAGGGAGATGGAAAGTCAAAACCGCACAAATCAAAATGATTCCTTAAAGATCCCGCAAAACTGTGCATTAAATACGACACAGACACACGCTCCAATCTGGCCTGATTTATGCACCCTTCCAGATAGGTCTGTTAGCAGGAAATGGAAACAAACTGGCATTCCTCCATAAGTCCAGTGCTGTTTTCCCTCCAGCAAGGGAAGAGAGCCATGCTTTTTCCATGGAGTAGGAGAGATAAAACTGTTGGTTTTCTTCTCCTTAAATACTGGCATTCTAGTATAAAGTCCTCACCACAGGGCAGAGAAACTGAGATCAGAGCTCCTGCTT